TTTATATATGTTAACTAATGTTAATATTTTAGAGCTCTGGTTGGACTTTTTGCTGAGAATTGGATGGGAGAAGAGATTACTTATTTGATTTGCCTATTGTTAAGAGATGGGTTATGGGATGAAGAGTTTTATATTGGTTAAATGAGAGGAGATGAAGTGATTATGGAATTGTTTATACTTGTCATGATGAGGGTGGGAAGTCACTTTTTTAGGAGGGTTTGTTTTGTTTTCTTACTACTGTTTTTTTTCTTTTTTTCTTTCACTTGTATTGTTTTATTGTTCTATATAAAACTCTTAATAAAAGTATTGGGGGGGAAAAATAAACTTCATATGCAAACTGAATACATTTCTCCCCTGTCCATACCCCACACACTTTCTGTTTAGATTTGGGGGCTGTGGAAAACTTTCTAGACAAAAGTAATTTTAGTATTTTGCTCAAGAAGGTGGTGGCACGTATTCACCTTGTCTGATCTCTAAACATGGTTAGTATTTGGATGGGAGACCAGGAGGGAACTCCAGGGCAGTACGCAAGATGGGAAGTTGAAAAACATCCTGCAAGAAGGTAATTGCAGTCTATTTCCATATTACTGGCCATAAAACTCCATGGACTTATCTATGTTTTCACAAAACTCAAGCTCGACTGGAAGGAGACTTCTTTTATAGTCCAATTTAGTTGATGAACGTTGCCTACAATCAAACCTCATCATGACATTGTGCCACATATTTCCCTAACTACATATTATAAAGAAGGGATGAGCTCAACATTGTCATTAGACCCCATTACACTTATTCTCTCTTCTCTGGTTCTTGCTCTTAAGTGGTGTCAAATTATTCTACTGTAAAGAGTGACTGTATTCATTCTCCCATTCTTCTATACTACTAATTTCAGATCCAAGCATCCATACTCTAACAAAAAAGGGCTCCATATGCAAGTTCGCATATTTAGTTCCTTAAAGAAAGCTTAGCTCATATTTCATTGTTTTTCAGAAATACCGTACAGTTCTACACACCTGATTTCCATCAATAGCGTAGTCATACTTAGTGGCATACACTTTTCCCACAGAGACAGCTATAGCATAAGCAACAATAGCAATGGAAAATGCAGAGGCCAACATTTCCCCAAACATGTTCACAGCTGGAGGTTCAGGAGGCAAAAATCTATAGAGGAAAAGAAGCAGGAGAGAAATGTATATTGATAAGTGTATATGTATGATTTTGTACTGACACTCTTATATACCGTAGCCATAAACGACTTGGGAAAAAAATCCTGTTATTTTCTTATTTCAGAGTCCAAGACAGTAAATGCACATAAATATTTTACAATATTTGCAATATCTATAATACATCTCACCGCAAATATGTCTATGTATCTATATACATTGTAAATACGTTTATAGATTCTATATGTTTTTGCTTCAAAAAAGTGTTCTTGTTCTTTATTTGGGGAAATCATGAAACACGTGAAAAAGAACCATTTCTAATATGGAAAACCATTACAGCAATGCATATGCTTAATTATCCAAAATAACTATATAACCATGCACAATAACTATGCCACTATATGTCTCCCTGTTTTATCTCAAGTCTGCATTTATTATGTACAAGGTATTCATGGAAAGTATCATATTTCGGGTTTTATTCTATTTTATTGTATTTTATATTGTTTTTATTGTATTTTAATATTTATTGCTGTTTTATTGTGAACCGCCCCGAGTCACTTTTTGTGAGATGGGCGGTATCTAAATTTGAAATATAAATAAATAAATATTTGTCGTCTTCTCCCCATCCCCCAAATGGACGAATGCCCTACGCTCATTCGACCAGTAACTGAGTAGATAGCATGAGACATCCTCGGGATCAGGTACTTTTGTCAAAATGATGACAGCAGTGTTTGCCATCATGGTCCAAGCTCTGCCCCATTCATATGTGCCTGCAACATCATAACAGACATACAGAAGGGGCAAGGCTTCCATCATGGAGATAACTAGAGATTCATTGTTCTCCCCTCTGTGGTCCTTCTTAAGTTTTATCTGTAAACTCAAAATGTAGTTGCACTTACCCCTTAATTTTAGTGTTCCAAAACAAATAACCTGCACTTACCCTCTAGGAATAGTTTTCACAATCCCTGCATTGTATTTCTTCTCAAGGTCAACACCATATGAAATGCCAGTAGCAACTATTGTCTGGAGTCAAACGAAATAACAAAAGGCATGAACACAGAAGATTGATCTGCTTCTCCTGCCATTTTAACCTTCTGACTTTCTCAAAGGTGTTGGCTTACCACAATCACTTCTATAGGAATAGGAATAGGAATCTTGTGTCTGAAGCGGTCGTTAATTTCTTTGACGGCCATGCAGACAATGATAGTCAGCAGTCCCGCAATGAGATCAGCAATATTGGTGGTTCTAATGTTCTCAAATATTTCTATAAGCGTCTAGAGAGAGAACACAAAAGTAAGATCGTCATTAGGATGAGAATTACTTGTTCTGATTGCTCAAGTAGGTTGGGCCCAAGTTAGCAAACCTGAATTACAGAAATAGTTCTATATGAAGAACTTCTTAATAGTACACACTGATTGGTAATTGAACAGATTGCCTCCAAAAACAATTGGACATGCTTCGTTAGAGTTTTTTCAGGAGAAACTGCATGGTCATCAAACTGGTATTCTGGAGCAATGGATTTCTTGCTTTAACAGAAAATTGGAATATATTAAAAATCTGCTTCAGTTTTCTTTATCAGATTAATTTATCCCATTTGTTTGACCTTCTGTTCTTTTTTTAATTTTTAAAATTTAATTTTTAAAATTTTTTTACTTTGTTTTATTCTTGAATAATTGTATGGCCATTGTAAACTACTTGGGGTATAGTTTATAATTGTGCATTATGAACTGTATATTGTGGTCCCTTTACTCTATTATTCGTTTGTTATAATATTAATTTAGATTAGATGGTAAAATGATGTTTAGAAGCAGCTTTGCTAACCTAGTACCCTCCATATATGTTGGGTGTGACTCCATCATTTTCAGCCACCATGGTCAGTATCTGTATTGCCAAGTGATTATAGTTTTGTAGCCCATAGGAGGACAACTCAAAGCTCTAAGCTCCTTCCAACAATTGTCAAAAATCATCAGCAACGTTTCACTAATTTCGAGGCAGGAAACACACAGGGCCTGCTGTTTAAGCTCTAAAATAGGCCTAACATAGTTAAAACAACAGCCACAAAGAAAACTTCCAAACACACCCATACCCAAGAAAACAGAATCCTAGCTCAGCCCGTATGTCTGACATGGCTCCTCCCAGACTATGTTGTCTTACTCCGTCCAATATAACCTTCTACCTCACCAAAATCTAAGTATAGACATCAGCCACTCAAAGATTACTCATTGTGTTGTACATCAGCTCACTGTAGACTAAAAGATTGACAAGTTAGGTCAAGCAAAGGACCATACGTTATGTAATGAAGTTCAGTTTAGTAAGAAACACTTACATAGATTATGGAAAGGACCCCATTGTAGTTTTTGGTTGAAACGTTTAACACTATTTTTAGTTGTGAAACAAATACTTGAAAAGCAGCCGCAGTGGTAAAGCCTCCAACCAGTGGATCAGCAAGATACCTTACAATGAAACCAATCTGCAGTGCTCCAAACACTAGCTGGGAAAAGGGAAAAAAAGAAAACAATTTTCTAAATAGTTGAAAAATAATAAGTATAGCAAACAATTTAAAAAATGAGAATGTAAGTTCTGTAAGCCAATACCACAGGACAAGGTTCTTAATTTTCCTGAGCTTCCTTTTTTTTGGTTCTTATACTAAAATGAATACATTTCAGCAAAGTTTATGGATCTATGTATTAATTTAATAGACTGTAATCCCAACCTTTAGTATAAATAATCTTCAGGCTCCTTGTGATTAAAATAAAAACAACGCATATAAGACAAAGAAATAAATAAAAATAGTGTTGGCCACGAGGAATCTGATGGGGAATAATGCTGTAAACTAACAATATCACTAGAGTTTTCAGTGGCAAATATGACTCTAGAACAGTGTTTCTCAACCCCATCAACTTTAGGATGCGTGGATTTCAACTTCCAGAATTTTGGGAGTTGAAGTCCACGCAACTTAAAGACTGGGATGCAAAATCATTATTACGATAGCAACAGCTTTATACTGACTAAATACAATGATTGAACTGTTAAAAACTAGGGGATCAAGTGAGCTATATTCAGAGAAGAACTTATTACTACTCCTAACTACAACTTGAACTCATCCTTGGATGAATAGCAGTTGAATGTAAAAGTTCCTGGAGCTGAACAATGACAATCTCTTCAAGAAAGAGATGTAACCAATTGTTATGACAATCCACAAGGGCTACCAAGAAATGTTCAGAAGCAAGCTTAGCGCTATTGTCTTTGAAAGTAGTCAGGGTTTTCCCCTTTTACAGAAGGTATTCACATTTCTTTTATATCACACCCACCATTTCCTTGTTCCTTCCCTTTCACTGACAAAAGATCACAAGAAACTTTCCCATTATGGAACCTCATGTCAACTGAGATCTCCCTCCTGATTCCCCATTTGCAGCCAGAAGTGATGTAACGCAGAAGAGGCTTTACGACTTCATTCCACTTGATATTTAAACTGGTTCCCATATCTAGACTTTAAAAATGCAAGATATTAATCTCCTTTCCATCCTGTTTTCAAATGTTCACAGAACTCTCTCCCATAAATAGGAAACAGCTGGATGTATCTGAAGAGGACTTTTAAAAAAAGATCAAATAGATGGTTACAAAAGGAAGCTTTTCTCTTCTAACTGACAGAGATTACAAAGGATCCTATTTAAATACAAGAAAAGGAAAAAGGCCGTGTGTTATTGCGTAACACACATTCCAATGTGTAAGGTTTAATTCCTAAACGCAACTGTATAGTAACACTCCACAGCGTGTTATCAAATGATGCAAAACTATAAACAAATTATGCAAAAATTAAAACTTTAAGCAAAGAAAGAGCATTTCCCCCCAGTTATATAGTAAGTAAGCAGCAGTATTTTGAGAGAGCTTCATCTGGTCGTATTACCTGGATAATGCCAACCAAAAAGGTGACAGTGCTGGAAATGAGCACACGCTGTGCATCTCTAGAGACGATGTCTACAGAGGGAGTTCCATTCATCCCCGTCATGTTACTGTTAACCATGAGGAATTTTTCATCTGGTGCCATGCTCAGTACTACTGAGCCCACCATTAAACTGACCACAGGGAAAGGTCCTGTTGAGAGGAATTATATGGACATATATTTTTAAAATCTATATATGGGAGGCAGTGTGGGAGAGTGGCTAAGGTATTGGATAGGAGCAAGGAGACCCAGGTTCTACTCCATTTTCAGCTGTGGAAGCTCTCCGGGTGACTTTGAGCCAATGGTTCTCTCTCAGCCCAGCCTCCCGCACAGGGTTGTTGTTGTGGGGGCAAAGAGGAGGAGGAGGGAGCACTCTGTATGGTGCCTTGAGCTGCTGTATAAAAGGTGGGATATAAATCTAATAAATAAATGCACTAATAATAATGATGGGTCGGTTCTACCTTTAGGTATACGTAACTGTAGAGCGGTGTTTCTCAACCTTGGCAGCTTGAAGGTGGTGGCTGGGGAATTCTGGGAGTTGAAGTCCACCCATCTTCAAGCTGCCGAGGTTGAGAAACATTGTGGTAGAGGCATCATCTGTAGTTGCAACCGCCCACGTGGAAGAGGCATATGCCAGCTTTATTTCCCAGGTTGAAAAAAGATGCTTCTGCAAATCCATGCCGCACCTACCCTTTTCTCGAACCTGATACGTTTAACAGTGACTAAGAATGAAACAAGGCAGAAACACTCTACCCAGGGGCCTGTTAGAAGAGTCAGTCTTTGCATCTTCACAACAGGGTTAAGGCATGTGTTTCTCAGGGGGAACACTGCTCCACAAGGCAGGTACAGTTACTGAAATGGTGCTTTTCAGCTTCTTATTCTAATTTAAACTTGATAGCCCTAATAAATGCATTTTCTACATTATGTTCCCAGGAGTGTGTTAACTTGAATCATAAGGGTAGAATCTTATGTGTTTGTTTATTCAATGTATATATCGCCTTTTGGCTCAGGTGGGGACTCCGACAAGTATTAAAGCTGTTAGTCTCATAGGAATTTCCCCATTATAATTGTGGTGCTAATGGGATTTAACCACACAACGTATTTTATATAAGTAGCTCCTGCTAGTAATAGCTAAGTTCTACCAATAGTAAAAGTAGAGTACACGTATATCAGTACACGCATCATATGTGGATGTTATTTCCAGCAATTAAGTGTGGAAAAACATGGAGAAACATGGAGAATTTAAATGCAGCCCAAACATACCATCTTATAAAAGTCTATTATAGCAAACAGAATGCCCCAAATCGTTCATAAACTCAAATAAAAATTAGCATTCTCAAAAAAAAATGCCTGCTATTAAAATAAAAATGATTCCGTTACCAACTGAGATGTGTCTTGATGTTCCTAAGAAGAAGTAGGTCAGGATGGGGAAAAATGCAGAATAGAGGCCGTATCCAATTGGAACTGCAACCAGTAATGCATATGCCAAACCTGATAATATAGAAAAAAAAATTAAAACCCTAAATCATATAATGAACTATTTTAAAATCAATTATAATAAATTCTTCAAACTGTACTGTTCTTAATACACAAATATAATCTATATTTGTATTTCACATCTGAGGTCCCCTGCATATCTAGGTAGCATACAATGTGTAAACATTCAGCAGGTAATGTTTACTAAGAAGTAAACCAGAACTGGTTTGGATCCTGCAGCATCTAAATGGAATCAGGTAAAGAAATCCATAAGAAGTAAGCTGAGATCCTACAAAGTTTAGGGCTGGAAATGTGAAAAGACCTCGACGTAAATCGGCGCAACGTTTAAAGCTAGAGAAATGTCCAGTCAGCTTAACTGTAAAATGATTCAACCTTTTCTGAGCTATACGGATGGGGGGGGGGGGGGCCCCTGTTCAATGCAGAGAGGGGGGCCTAGGATAGCCCCGGGATAGTTCAGCCTGTGTCCCCAGCCCAGTCCCGTCCACTCCCTGAGGTTGAAGGCGTGCGCCTCTCTTACCTTGCAGAGTAGCCACAAGTCCGGTGCTGATGCCAGAAATGATATCGCTGAGGAGCCATTCCTTGATCCTGTACTTGGGCAGCCATTCCAGAATGGGGAAGATGGTCTTGGTGACCTGGAAGGCTTTTTTCCTCGAACAGCTGCCAGAGACAAAAGGCTCACTGGCCGAAGCAGCCGCTGACACGCTCTGCCTCCCCGCCGTGGCCCCCCTCGCCTTGCCCAACCGTCCCCAGAGGGCGATGCGCGGGGCCGTTACCTGCAGGCTTTCTGGAGCCGCTCCCGGAGGGTTTGGGGCACCACCAGCTTCCTCTCGTTCTCCTCCTGGAAGGCCGCCTCGCTGTAGACGGGTCGGCTCACCACGTAGCGGCCGAGGTCCGGGAGCCCCCCATCCGCCCCGCCGCTCGCGGCCATGGCCGTCCTGCGCCTGCTGCAAAGGCAACGAGGGAGGCGGGCGGCCTTGCCAAAGCACGCCGCCCCCCACCCAGCCCACGCCAGGCAGGCAGGCAGGC